TTGTTTTATACTTCTGTCATGTTCTTTAATCTCAACAGTAACACATTCCACAAAAGAACCATCGTTGGGCCTACTTGTGTTGTGGTTGATGTCAAGAGAGCAGAGTCACATCATGGTCAGATAAACTGTCAATTAAAGTTTAACTTGGTGTAACAAATATTATTGATTTTAGGTAGAAACTGTCAAATAGGGAAGAGTGCTGTTGAACCAGAAGCAAGGAGAAAAAATTATAGTCCACGAATTAGTTGTGAAATCTTAAGTCATATCACTTAGCTTTCTTATCAATAAAGTTTGTTGGAGCAGGCATTTATGACCGAGGGCCCTCCTGGTCCTGAAGTTTCATGGCTCTGTGCAGTCTTTCTTGAACTGAGGTAATCTGCCTCTTAGACTTAATTCAGTAAGGAATAGGGACTGCTTATATTGTCCTTGAAACTCTGGCAAATAGCATATGATCAACTCTAAGACTAGCTCTGCCTCCAGAGAAGACAGAAAATATGTTCTTATGGAACTCTTAGCTCTACTACTCTGCAGCTAGTTTTCCTGCTGGGAATTCACTCATTGAAAGGGCTTTTCTCAGCTTTTGTGAGGCTGGTAGCATAGCTTTAGTGCTGAGCAAAATAATTTCCAGGAGGACCTTCGAGATTTAGGAAAGAGGAACTTCTCTCTTCCTGAAGGGTCAAATTACCCTGAAGGGCAATTACAACCACTTCCTTGGGCATAGCTTTTGGTTCGTCTAATAGGCATGGAAAACAACTTGGGGCTGGTGTCACTGGACTTTATCAGGACTACAGGATGAGTTTATGTTACTAGTAGGATTTGGACCCATTTTGGAGGTTTTGAGTCAATTTGTAAGGCCACCTTTCAGAGGTGGGGACAGGATTCTATGCAATTCAATTCAAGCAACTTTTATTAGACCTATTACATACCAAGTACTGGGCTAAATGCTGAGAGATTGAAATATTAATCAGGTACTCCAGGAATTTAGGATTTCCTGGCCTATGCTTATTAGCCTAATTAACTTTATTATTCTCTGTTTATATTTTCCATATTATAGATCAGTGGCTCTCAAACTTTGCTGCACAATAGTATCACCTGGAAAACTTAAACATCATAATGCCTGGGCTATATTTCATGCCAGTTACATCAGTCTCTGGAGTGGGACCTAAACATTGGTATTGTCTTTTTTTTTTAACTTCTCAGGTGATTCCAAACTGCAGCCAAGTTTGAGGAACAATGTTGTAGACTTTACTACTCAAAATGTAGTCAGAAGAACAGCAACATAATTATTACCCGGAGTCTGTTTAAAGTGCAGAATCTCAGGCCCTCTGTGAGATCTACATAATCAGAATCTGCCTTTTAACAAGGTTTCCAAGTGATGTGCATATGGGCTAAAGTTTGAGAAGTGCTGTGGTAGACTGTGTTTCCCAAAGACTTGTTCTGTTTATAACTAGCTCTCGTCGGCTGATTTCTAAAAACAGGTTAGCTGAAGCAAATGATCTTTTCTATGACACACTGTCTGAATGGCCCCTGAATGTGAGAGTTTTCTGAATTACGTGGCAAATGTTGGAGTTATTATGTACTTTAAGTTAAAAGAGCAGGGCGCCATCTACAGTTCATAGTGAGGTTCCAGGTAAAGGCCTCGGGGAAGGGGAAAGGGAGGGAAAGGGAGTTGAACCTGAAAATCCAACTTCGCAGTGCAAAGGGCTAAGGTACTCTGTGTGTGTGTCTGTGTGTGTCTGTGTGTGTGTGTGTGTTTATACACGTGTCAGAGAGAGAGAAAGATTAATATTTTTGTTAGTTGGCAACTCTGATGGATTTTGAGGAGACTCTTCACATAATTGATGAGGAGGAATTTTGGGAAGAGATTCAATGCAATTCTGGGTTAATCTCATTCTACTTTAGTTTTGATGTGGCTCCAGAGTTGGGAGTCAGGCTGTCCTTTGAAGTAAGATCCTCCTCAAACCTGATTCTTCACTATTCTTGCTTATTCCTTCTGTTATTTCCCCTAACCTTTTTATTCAGAGCTTCCACATCACACACATATATAGTTTCCCTTAGGATTTCTACTTAGAAACGGAATGCATGGGATATAGATCAGACTAGGCCAGCCCACCAAAGGTATTATAGGCTGTAATAGTCATTTTCTTACCTGGCTGATCCTCAGAATGACTTTGGGTGCTCTACAAATATATACATTTCTAGGCTCCAGCCCTACAGCCTCTAATTTAGTAGGTCTGTGGTGGGACCTGGGAATTTGGTTTTTAAGAAGCTTCACCAGTGATTCTGATTTAGGGTTACGTTTGTGAACCACTGATACAGTGGACAGAGAGTGCACTGTAAATTAGGTCAGATCTGTTTAAAATCCTAGTCCTACCACTTAACGCCTTAGTAGCTTGTGATTTTGAGAACATTACTCAACTTCTCTGAGCCTAGGTCTATGCATTTGCAGTGTTGAGCTGGCTAAATAAGATAACGTGTTAAAGTGCCTAATCTAGTGAATGCAAAGCAGTTTTTCTATGGGTCTTTGCCATCACAAACATATACATGTGCAGGCTGACCACATGGGTAATCTGGGTTAGTCTGATGTCCAGATCATCCCATGCCCACGTTTATCATCTACCTTTGTTACACTGAATTTGGACTAGTCCCGTTAAGACTTGTGGACCTCACAGCAGCTAGTGAATAAGCTGGTGACGGCTTCTCCAGTCATTATTTCAGTCAACACAGCCATCTGTGGTACTTCAGACACGTTCATAGGCCATAATGCCTCTGGCTGTTCTACCGATTTTTTGAAGTTATCTCAAGTACAGTTGGTAGTAGTTGCTACAATGCGAGTATATCTTCTTCCCTTGCTCTGTCTTCCATATACCACCACCCTACCAGGCTGCCCTCCAGGAAGCTGAGGAGGAAAGCAGATATCTGAAGGAAGAAGAGAACCAGACTGAGGAGACACAGCACCCAAAATCCCAACACAAAAAGTTTACCTGGGGATTCAGTGTTAAGAATGACTCTGGCTCCTTTCTGAAATTCTTTACTTGCTACAGAGAAATGTATGGAGTGGGGGAAGAAGGCACTGATTTGAATCTACATACCCTTGGTGTTTTTGGCTGCCAGTATCCAATAGCAATTTTCTTGATAATTTCCACCCCTGCACCTTGCAGTCCATATGCTTCCAGGGAAGTCCCCGTTCCTGGCTTTCAGGGCCAGCTATGTGTCTCAGACCTAACTAATGAGCATGATACCTTCCTCTCTGGCTATGATGACTGAATTGAGAATGGGCATGTAACCTGAGATGACCCTATGAGACCGCAAACCTGGAATTCCTCTATGGTTAGGGGAGGAGAAATGCTGTTTCACATGACATAGAGTGCATGCGGCAGTCATCTTAGGATCACAAGGGCAGGGCTTTCTCTGAATGGAGCCAAATTAATAAATCAGAGCTGAAAAGTAGAGAGAGTGGTTGTATCTTACACTGCTTAAAAAGATTCAGTGTTGCTTAATCAAGTTGAAAATAAGATTTCTTACTTTTCTTACTGTTTTAAAGACAGCTTAGCTTGGGTTTTCTATTATCTGTTCTGTTATTTGTAATGAATAGCATCTTATATACAAATATTTCCTTGACAACTTAAGAGATCTGGTCATCTGAATTGAAGTGCTGAATGCTACCAAGTGACGTAAAACAATTTCAAAAGCCAAATGCTCAGGTATAGGATGTCAAAGGCATACCTTAAAATGGCATGTGTGGAAAAACCTACACATAAGCAGATACTAAGTGGATAATTTGATTTTGGCTACATTAATAGAAGTATAGTTCACAGAAAAAAGAAGGGCTCATTCTACCACGGTCCTAAAACCTCCCTTTATTAAGGTATTAAGGTATTAAGTTAAACTCTGAACACAAACCATTAGCAAAGGATAAAGACCATTTGAAGAGAATTCAAATTAACCATGATGGGGAGGAGACTTCAATGTCTTACGGGAGTGGGTGAAAGAAAATGGCATGTTAAGCTTAAAGCAGTCTCAGGGCCACAGGGCAACTGTGTTCAAATACTTTAAGGCATGTGTACTGGACATGTGGTTTTTGGCTACTCAGCATCACTTGACTTCTATTAATAGCCACCAATACGTATTTGGTGACTCACCTATCTCTTCAGTTTATCTGAAATAGTGCTGCTCCTGGACTATTAAATTATAGCAGCCATTACATTCCCATTTTTGCTTGGGTCAGTTTGAGCTGGGTTTTCTGCCATTTGCATCAAGAGTGCTAATACAGAATGTCACCTCTAAATGGGATTAGATCTCTGAGGTTCCTAATGACAGTCCAAAATTTGTAAAGTTCAAGTCAAAAGTCTTCAGCTAAATGGAAGAAACAAATTTCTAAGAATAAGGATTATCTGAAGATGAAAATGATCATTTAGGAAGGTAATTCATACCTCAGTTTTAATGGTTAATTGACAAAGGTGAAATCTGAGGTCTTTTTTAAAACCAAAGTTTATGAAATTATGTCTAAATAATTATAAATTTTAGGAAGGCAAGAGCAATTATTGACCAAATTTCAAGTTATTACAAACATATTAATTTTAGTTCATTTTACAGTTACATTTTTCATATGCTGATTTTATACTTTCTTAGAATGTTGACTTCTTCATATCTCAAGGTTTTAATATCTAGTGAACTTTAAAGTCACTTAATAGATTTTAAAATCTAATATTTAAATATAGAGGCTTATAGTTGTATCTTTGTTTTGATATAACTGTATTTCATTGCATGCGAAGTCTCTACTTGGGAACATAATCTTAATTACAACATTATTCCCAATGGAGAATAATGACTTGCTGCAAAAGAAAATATTTGCTGCAAAATGGGACAAATGTTTCTACTGATACTTCTACCTTCAGTCCTTTATGAAATAGTTGAGTAAAGATCATTCCCTTCCCTGTTCTTGCTTGTTGAACAAACAAATGAAATGAGAAAAATAAACAAAAAAGCAGAGACTTAAATAAAACAAACATTTTAAAAAATTTACTTCATGAGATACACTGCAATATATATGTATGTTTGCATATACATAGGAAAAAATATCTGGAAGGATATATATCAAATTGTTAATAGTTTACTTTGAGGGGGGTAACTGGGGTAGGCTGAGGGGTTGCTCTCACCTTTAAATTTATATACTTCTGTATATTTAAAATTTTACAATAAGAATTCATTACTTTTATAATAATTACAACGATATAAATTTTAAAAATGAAAAAGTAGTAACAAAAAGTAAACACACACATACATGCATAGTAGTTTTAAGAGCCACACTGGCAGGATGGAGAATTAAATCACATGGCACACCTTTCCATTAATGCTGTGGTGGTAAATATAATTGTGTAGTCTATAATCAAAGAAACATTACAGAAGCGGCTTTTAGTAACATCCCAAATTAAAAAGTGCCCTGGGATAAGAGCCCTTAAGCAGTGACTCTTCAAGGTGGATATTAAAACTGAAAGCAAGGCTTAACTATTCCTGCAGGATCTATAGCAAAACATATCAATCTGAACGCTTCAGACAAAAGAAAAAGCTTCCAAGAAGTTAACTCTGGAATACTCAAACAGTTAACCAAAGGCCAGATATTGTGCGTATGACAACTCTACCCAGTTCAGACCCCAAACTAAATGCCTGAAATCTTGGCAATCTAGGGATATAGGTTAGGGACATCTACTTTACCCCTTTATTTATCATTTCTCCCAGTTTCTCAATTGGTTTGCTTTCTATCTCAATGACTGTAACAAAAAATACTGCAATTTTAATTGGAAAGAATAAAAGTAATTCCAACTAGATTCAGTTTAGGTTTATTCTTCTAGTTAAAAGAACCCGAGAAACTTGAGACTAATAATTTTTAATTATTCATTTTTTTCCTCAGAACTATTTCTAGCTACTTAATGAACATTTTGGGATATAATACTTCAGATTTCTCCTGGGGCCCTAAAGCTCTGTATTTGAGGAAATCTTTTTTCTCATGCTCTAGTTCATCTCCTTTTATTGAACTCATCAGAAATGACAAACTTATTTATTTTTATCAACTTTTTTCTTTCAACAAAGAGGATTCTTTAGGTGACCATCAGGTTGATGGTTAAATATCCTCATCAAAGTCAGAACGTCTGTAACTGGAAGGTTCCATCTTTTGCAAGCTGCATAGTTAAGAGCTTAACTAATATAATTGTGTATTTCTGAAAGAGTGCTCCTGACCTAGGCTCAAAGGTTTATGCAGGATTATACTCACTGCATAAATGAGTAATATGTGAAATCTGACAAAATTTAATCAGAAAATTATTATAAATAGCAGAGATAAAAGGGTATAAAGTCATAACGGCCACAATATTTTTAAAAATTTCAACAGCTAGAAGGCTGCTGTTTCTCAATGGATTACAGTATTTTAATTAAATAAAATATAAAACAGCAAAAGAGTCATCATAATGTATATGAAGTATGTAGCATGATGCCTGGTACACAATGACCATTGAATAAAAATTGGTTCTGTAATGCACAACGGATTAAATCAATAAACAAAAATATAAGAACCCAAAAGGAAGAGAAAAGCTTAGAACTAATTTCCTAGAGTATGCATTTAAATGGAAAGTCGAAGCTCACAGAGAGCAGTAAGGAATTCTTCATTTTCTGGATCTATCTTTTGGGCCCTCTCATAGTACTCAGCAGCTTGCCTCTTTTCTCCCTCCAGCTTGTAAACAAACCCTAGGGCACTTAAACTCTGCACATCTGAAGCATTGTGACCAAGTCTCTTGGTAGCCAATTTCTTCAGAGCACTTGTCAGTTTGGTGCGCAGGGATGACCTGTCTTTGACCTTTAAGGCTTCTAAATAATGGTGGATGGCAGTATTTTCTGATTTACGGTGAAATTCCTGAAAGCGGCCATAGTGGTAGTGGATCTGATGTTTGTGATCATCAGTTATGTTCTCCAGACGAAGGGCTTTCTGGAAAACCTCTTCAGCATTGTTATACTGGCCTCCCTCAGCATACATGTTGGCCAGGTCTGTGTAGGCAAATGCAAACATAGAGTCTCGCTCCACAGCTGCTTTGAAATGAAATATGGCAGATGTAATCAGCTCATCAACTTTCAGTTTATCCTTTCCTTTAGGTCTGTTGCGAGTGGCCTTCTTGATCTGGATCATTTGTGCCCTATAGCAAAGTCCCATTTGGTGATGCAGGAAAGAAGAGGTTGGTGTCACCTCCAAGGCCTTTCTCAAAAGTTCAAGAGCTCTGTCCCAGGAATTTTTCCTCCTGTAGAATTTGGCTGCATAACGAAGGACATATGGTTGGGATGATATTTGGTCCAGGATTTCTTCAATATACTTTTCCCCTTCAGCTTCTGCATGAACATCTTGAAGCTTCAGTGCCAGAAAAACCTTAATGTAGGTGTTATCTGGGTTCAGGGTAACAGCCTTCCTCAGAGGCCCCAGAGAAAAGCTCTTTATAGACCCTTCTCTGTCAGAATCATCCAGCCGATACACTGTGATGGCATAGCCGATGTTAAATTCTGGATTGTCAGGTTCCGCTTCCAGAGCCTTCTCAAAAGCCATTTTAGCCTTCTGGTGATACTTTCCTCCAAATTTCAAGAGTGCCCACCCTTTCTCACAGTCAATCTCAGGACACTCCAACTTGTAGTGGGAAGGACTGGACAATTTCTTGCAGACATTCCCTACCTTGTCTATATACGTTTGAGCTTCTTTAAGCTGGTCCATGTGATAATACACCCAGGCATAGTTTCCCCAAGTGACCAGACTTCGTACTTCTTCTTTTTCTGAGTGTTCACGCTGGATTATTTCTTCTGCTTGTTCCAAGCACTCTAGGGCATCTTTATTTTGGCCTTTCAGGTGTTTCACATACGCCAATAGGTTATAAAGAGTAAGTCTGGATTTTGTGGTAAGAAATTCAAGCTGTTGCCCAATTGTGTCTTCCACCTCACAGAGATCAATGTCTTCTTTAAGTAAATTCCACGTAAAGTGACATTCCAACTCCAACAGAATGGCCTTCAAGGCATCCTCAGGAATTTCACTGTCAAAGATAAAATCCTTTTTAGATTTCTCAAAAAATTAAAAATAGAAATACTAGACGATCCAGCTAGCTGTCCTACTACTGGGTATTTATCCAAAGCACTTGAAATCAACAATACAGAGAGATTTATGCAACCTTATGTTCACTGCAGCATTATTCACAATAGCCAAGATGTGAAAGCAACCCAAGTGCCCATCAACTGATGAATGGATAAAGAAGATGTGTTACACACACACTCTCACACAAAATGGAATACTACTCAGCCATGAAAAAGGGCCAAATCGTCCCATTTGCAACAACATGGATGGACCTTGAGGGTATTATGTTGAGGGAAGTAAGCTAGAGAAAGACAAACACTGTATGATTTCACTCATATGTGGATGATAAATAAACACATGGATAAAGAGAACAGATTAGTGGTTACCAGAGGAAAGGAGATGGCAAGGTGGGCGAAAGGGGTAAAGGTGCACCTATGTATGGTGATGGATAAAAACTAGACTATTGGTGGCAAGCACAATGCAGTCTCTATAGAAACTAATATATAGTAATGTACACGTGAAATTACATAATGAAATTACAGAATACGACCTCAATAAAATACTTTTTAAAAATTATAAAAATAAAAGATAAAATTCTTTTTAATTTTCAAGAAATAAAGGAAATAATGTTTAAACCTTAAATATTGTCCTTTGCTTAAAACCAATTTTATCTTTTATTTGATCTTACTTACAGTTAAAGCAGTAGGCTCCTATAACTTTATACCAGTTTTCTCTGTGTATAATTATGTCCTAGAAATATTTCATTAAATTCTCATTATTTATTGCATAACAAATTCTGGAAAGATGACAGGGTTTTCTATGTTACAGGGTATCTATTTCCTTTTAGCACTCACTAATCCACAAGGACCACCTATTTTTGAAGAGGGGAATTTAAAATGTTTTACTTGCTAGCCTTGAAAATTAATAATAATAAATATATAGTCAATAATTAATATAAAAATTCCATTATTGTATTAAAAGTAGAGAAAGGAGGGAAGAAGAGAAGGAAGAGAAGGTGAGAAATAAGAGAAGAAGACACTGCAGAAGACAGATAAGCCACAGGAACATCATTTTGCAGAGAAGAGAGGAAGAGAGGGAGGGGGGAAGGAAGGAAACCCCACAGAGAGAAAAGGCACAGGAACAGACAAGAACAGGTATACCAAGAGATAGGGAGAAGCATAAGTTTGAGATAGATAAAAGGAGAGTAACAGATTTATATAAAGATGAGGAAAAGGCAAAAGGAACCTAGGTTTTGATGTAAGTGCCACATCCTTCTGACCTCTGGGCTTGTGGGCAACAATAAAGGCTAACGCTTACTTATCATTGCCCTTGCTATTCATTTCAATCAAGAAATAGTTGTTGAGCTCCCTTTGTGTGAGGCATAGTGTAATCACTGCAAGGCCCACTGGAAACACTGTCTCAAATTAGGAAGATGAAGGGGGAAGGAAGGAATAAGAAATATTTATTCATTCATTACTGAGAGCCTTTTATGTGCAAGATCTTCTGAATAACCCTGGGGATGTGAATGTGAACAAGACACGGCCTTGCTTATACAGAGCCTATATTATAAGTAAACATGGAAGTGACCCAGGAAGGGGACCTAGTCCAGTGTCGTGGACATCGGTGGCTTTTACTTGATGAGGATCCCTTCTTTCAGTTTTCTTTTGTGGAACAATCTCTCCCCCTACTCTCAGTCCATGTGTTTTGAGACAGGCTGTCCACCCTTCACTCCAGTCTGTGGGAAGGCATAAGATATTCCAGCCATTCCCCGATCCTAGTCATCTGTTCATAGATAGTCCAATTAAAATATGATTTTGCTGAAATGGGACTTTGGTTAAGCTATTTCTCTTCCCTCCAAAAATTTTAAGCTGGTAGAATATATGTTTGGAGTTGCTGGTGGTTATCTTTGGGGATAACCTTCCTGAGAAAGAACCAAACGCAGAGAAAGCAGAGCTTAGACAGGAAGAAAGACAGACTGCTCATGATACCAACTAAATATCTATATCTAGTCTTGCCTGGATCACCCTGTCCATCACGGGACTTCTATTTTTTTAAGCAAATAATCTCTCTTTCTCTTTTTGCTTAACCAGTTTGAATTGGGTTTGTACTGTCTGCAACTGACAAAGTCCTAATAATAGACCCAGTTTTGTTTGTTTTGCTGATGGTGGTGGTGAGGCAGTCAGGAAAGACTTTTTAGTCTATTTAGTCTTATTGGCCATAATTAAAGGTCACAATAAATGTACAGAAAAAATTACTTAAGGCTTCTCTCCAAGAGGGAAATGCTCTAATTATGAGATGAACAGTGTCCTATGTGTATGTGCATTTCCCTTTTTGCTCCACAAAGAACCCTACTCCCTGTATGTACAATATATATTTGTATAAATGTTTATGGGAACTATAGTAATATTTCTATCAAGCTTTATGGATCACCTCACTCATACTTGCCAGGCAATTTTCTAGTTGTAGTGGATAGAATAGTAAAAAGATAGAAAGGGGCCCTTTTTTCATGGTAATTCCACTCTGGGAGAGGGAACAAACGGAGTGGACAGAAAATAAACATGTAAACAAATCAATGGACAACATAATTCCAGACAGTAATAAGTGTTAAGAAGAAAAAAGAACCAGAGTAATGGGATTAAACGGTGGGAGTGGGAGAGTACTTTAGTTATGCTTGACAAGGAAAAGCCCTTGTAGAAAGGGGCAATTGCAGGAAGATCTCAATAATAAAAAGGAGGCACTCATGAAAGACCTGAGAGCAGAACAGTCTAGATCAGTGGTTCTCCACCAGGGTAGTTTTGCCCAGCAAGAGGACATCTGGTAATGTCTGGAGACAATGTGGCTGTCACCACTGGAGGAATGCTACTAGCATCTAACTGGGTCAAAACAAGATGCTGCTAAATGTCCTACAATGCACAGGTCAGCCCCAACAACAAAGAATTATCCAGCCTAAAATACCAATAATGCTGAGGTTTAGAAACCCTGGTTTCGGCTGAACCATCAGTGAGCACAAAGGCCTGATGTGGGAACAAACTTGGAGAGTTCAGAGGACAGAAGAAAGAAAAGTGTGGCTGAAGCTTAGTAAACAAAAGGAGATGAGGTGTAGTAGTAGGCAGGGCTAGATGATGCAGGTCTTGGAATATAAATTTTAGTCTAATTGCAAAGGGAAACCACTGGAGTGAGATTTTTAAGTAGGGATCATGATTGAGCTAGGTTTAAAAAAATTTCTCTGGCTGTTCTGTGGAGAAAGGATGACAGAGGAAGTTGGGAAACTAGTGGGGAAGCTATATTCAACAAATATTTATTAAGAGCCTACTATGTGCAGGGCACTGTTCTAAGTATTGGGGATACAGCAATGAACAAAACAGAAGAAAAAATGCTGACTTCATGTAGCTTACATTCTAATACAGGGGTGGAGTATGCCATAAAAAGACCAAAGAATAAATGAAAGTATACAGTGTGTAAGATGATAATAAGTGCTAAGGAGAAAAATAAAGCAGGAGAGGGGAATGGGAGGCTGGCAAGGGGTCTGGGAGGTAACTAAAATTTAAATAGCTTGGGCGAGCTAATGTCCCTGAAAGAGGCATGAAAGCAGCTCTTGATGGAATCCAGGGAGAGATGATGCAAGCTTACACTTGGGTTGTAGTCAAGGGCTAGTGAGGACTGGATGGTTATACTTTGGAGGCAGAGCTGACATGTCTTTCTGATGAATTGGGTGTGGGGAGGACCATGAGTGAAAGAGGGAATCAAGAATAATTCCTATGCTTTTGACTTCAGGAAGTAAGTGGATATATCAAGAGAACTATTTTGAAATGTTAAATTTGAGATTTCTATTAGACATTCAAGTGAAGATGACAAGTATGAAGTTGGATATTAATGAAGAAAATCCTGGAGATGAGGAAGCATGACATTAGAACTAAGGATACAAAACTGGGAGTCATCAGCATGAGATGAACTTTAAAACCCGGAGATCTAGAGGAAATTACTTTCGGAGTGAGCACACAGGGAGAAGGTCAAAAACTATGCTGTAAGACATAGTTACACTATGCTGTAAGACATGTAAGACTCTGCTGTGAGGCAGAGTAGAAGGACAGGAAAGGAGGCCAAGAAAGAACAATCAGTGAGGGAGCAGGAGAATTGAGAAACCTGGTGTCATGAAAGCCTAAGGAAGAAAATGTTTACTTCAAGAAAGAAAGATGGATATTCAATGTGTAAAATGGTTCTAAGAGGTTGAGAAAATATGGACAGAGAATGATATATCACTTTTTTCTGGCAGGAGTAAACGTGTGGGGGACCTTGATAAGTGTTTTAATAGAATGGTAGGGATGAACATATTACTGGACAAAGTTGAGGGAATAATGAGAGGTAAAGAAGTGGATATCGGGAATACAGGCCACTCTTTCATGGAATATTACTATGAAGGGAGTAGAGAAATAGTGCTACAGCTGGAGGGAGGCTGGAGGAATTGTCAAAAAAAATTTAATTATGATATTTTTAATGACTTAGTGATATGCCAAGGGAAAGGGTCCAATATTAAGGGAGAAAATGATGCTTGTGGGAGAGAAAGAGGGAAATTGCAAGAAAGATGGAATATGAAGCAAAGTAAAGCTATCCACTGTTAATGCTCAAATCTTTATCTCCAGCCTCAAACTCCTAACCACGGTTGCTATGCCCTTCAGCATTTGGCCCACATCTACTTCTCTAGCCTAATTTTGTACCACTTTCTTCTCACTCACTGCACTCCAGCCATACAGGATTTTAAAAGAATTTTATTATTTCTTATTTCTCATGCCAAGTATGTTCCTACCTCAGGGCACCTGTACCTCCTTTTTATTGCCTCTGTGAACTCTCCCTAAGAGAGTTCAAGGGCTTACTTATTCTCCTAATTCTGGTCTTGGCTCAAATGTCAGCTCTTCACAGAGGCCTACCCCTGACCACCTTAGCTAAAGCTGCACCCCCACCTTG